CTGCTTTCCAAACCCGCATTGGTAGTCGCACAGGGACGCAGAAACCACAAAGTGGCCTTTAGGCTACCGGTTTTCTCTCCACACCGTTTTGTTTCTAAAAAACAAAAACCATGAACCTGAAATAAAAGGTTTATTTGAATTTAAAAGCTTAAAATTCCTGTCTACCTGATGATTGCACGACTATAGACTCATTTCTGTGTATTAAAAGCACATATTTAGGTTTGTTTATTAAATTAAAATAATCCCTTTAGGCCTTCAAATGGCCTTTCTCTCACCAGCTCACCTACAACTCTGCTTCAACACTGTAAAACCACTCTGCAAAACCCAATGACAAGTTGCACTGGCTTAATTTGATCACATGTTTGAACCATAGACTGTATAAAAGATGGACGTAGCTACCGTGACGTCACCCGTTGGTTTCTGCACTGAGAAAATGAAGCCAGGGTTTTGCTACTTCCTGGTTGACATCTTGGATTTTTGGAGCCAGTGACGCAAAAATCGTCGGAGGGGGGCGGAGCCATAGGAGCAGCGATTGGTCAGACGGATTGAGAGGCGGGCCCTCTCTGCCCGCCCACATTTACCGCCTTCTGCTCGCTTCGTCTGTATGGTCGCTGCCGACTGTCAATCAAGCCAGCCACGCCCCTTGCCCCGCAAAATGTTGATGATTTTTAAAAAATTCAGTATTGATTTATTTTCAGATTGGCCACCTGATCTCTGGATTTGACTATGAAAACTAATAAGAAAAAAATCCTGAGCTGTAGGAATGCAGTATTTCGTGATCTGTGATCACTTCTTTTCCAATTCCAGTCTATGGGAGCCAGGGCTTTTTGGAGCCAGCAGCAGGTTTTTGACACTTCCAGGTTGGCTTCATTTTTCAGGGCCGGTTGATACGTCCATCTTTTATACAGTCTATGGTTTGAACCAAGAACCTAATTGAAGGAAAAACCGAAGAGCTCACTGCCTATTTTGCCCATAATTTGTCTTCCACCATATAAAATACACCATATGGACGTGATAACAACATTAAAAAAACAAAAAAAAGTAGTGTTTTTACTCGAGGTGGTCTTATTATTAATGCTAAACACACAACTACTCCTGTAAGCTTAAAAAAACACTGCCTTGACTTGGGTGTAATTTTCTGCTTTTCTGTCCTTAAAGGGTCGACTGCTTCTGTGATATTTGCTGCAATTACAATATGCAACACTACATAGAAAAAAAAGTGGCAAAAGCGGGCGGTTTAGCGCTCCATGACATCTCAAAGTTGACCTCTTCTTTTTTGTCGCGTTATCGCCATCTGCCAGACAGAAAACAGCAGAACTGGTAGCGTCTAATGGCGCGCTCTTGGATTGGTGTAAACAGGAAAGAAGCTGAATTAACACGGAGCTCAAAGCACCGCGGCGTGTTGCTCTTAGACTGATAAGTATTAGACTAAATGTAGCGCGCTGTTTCTTAAAGAGTGGAATAAAGGGCCTAATAGTCTTTGCTTCTCTAACGATATGCTAATAAGAAGCCGGCCTTTTTTTATGAGTGTAAACATACAGACTTTTATATACATCAACGCCTGTCTTGTGTCCTTTTTTGTCGGAGCCAAGTCGTGTTCAGCGAGGGCACAGAAAGATGATTTAGCCCGGAGAGAAGAGATTTCAGGTCAATCCATTAGAGACTTAAAGGGGAACAGAAGTGGAGACAAAGAGCCATGAGCTCCTTAGCTTCATTCCTGTGGGGACTCTCCAGTGAGCCCCTTGTCCTTGCCATGTCACACCCAGCAGGAACACATTTTCTGTCGCACTTTCGCCATTTTTTCAGCACTTTTTTAAATTTAATCAGGTTACGGGCTGTGACTACGGAGCAACAATTTCTCTGGACACTCTGATAGCCATGCGGGAACAGCGGGTAATATTTCTCAATTGAATAATCACATTTGTTATTCCTGCAGTGTCGCATCGGCAAATCAATATCAAATCAAATGAATATCTCTCCTCTACAGCTAAAAAAAAAAAAAAAGAAAAGAAAATTAAGACTCAGCGCTCTAGTACCATCAGTCATCTGAAAAATCTTGACTTGCTCTGTAACCAACAAACCATGAGGGGAAATGAATGAGTAATGTTCTCCTGCACCTTAGCAGCTATTTTGCTGAGTGCCCTTGAGCAAGTCACTTAACCTCCTACTGCTCCAGTGGAGCAACAAGACGTGAGCGGCGGTAGATGCCAGTCATTTTTCAGAGGATGTCTGCTGTGTGAATATGACCTATTAAATAAATCCTTCCTGCCAAATTATAAAGAACTTAAATTAAAACGTTGCAATAATAACTTGCAGCATTTTTTTTTTCACGCTTTGCACTGAAAAGCCTGAAAAACTGTCTTCAGATCTCCTGCTTCTTTCAGCTAAATGCAAAACTGGTTCCTAAACATGAACGTAGAAAGCCAGCGATAAACAAGTTGCATCTGTTTTTTTTTGATCTGCTGCACACAACTGCGAGTGTGTCCGTCTCCGAACTAACCGCCAGATGTGCAGTTTGTTTTAATATACTGAAGTATACTGAAGATATTCAAACTATTACACACTACATTTGGATTTATGGAGTATGAAAAAAAAGAAAAACAAAATGTGTTTTAAATATTAGAGTCTTCAAAGTAGCCTCATTTTGCTTTAATGACAGCCTTGCACGTATTAAATCCTCTCTGCCGGCGTCATAAAGCCGTTACCTGTAATGCTGCTCTGGTGGTCCTTCCCACATATGCAGAGCACTTGTTGGCTGCTTTTCCGTCACTCTTGCGATACATCTCAAACCAGCTCAGTTGGGTTTAGGTCAGCGGTTGAGGCGGCCGGGTCATCCGACACAGCACTCCATCAATCTGCTTCTTAGCCAAACAGCCCTTTCGTAGCCTGGAGGTGTTTTCTGGCTCATTGTCCTGTCGAAAAACAAATCACGGTCACACTGAGAGCAAAACCAGATGTCACTGCAGAACACTGAGGAACAGCTGATGTTGATATGTGGCTGCGACTTGAACTCTGGGAAGCATTGATGTGGGCTCTGATCGGAGATGCTGAAGAAACTTTCACGGCTCTTGAAGCTTTCTGGACCGGCTAACCTTCATGTCTTAAAAGTAGTGCTGTTTTTCTTACTTAGCTGAGCGGTTCTTTCCATAAAATGGATTCGTAAAGCTGGTTACACTCTGGCCACAACACACTCACGCCGCAAAGTCTGTTCCTTTGATCTTTTATCTTTAGAAAAACAAGTTATTGCCACAGGTTCGTGTGCACAAGTGATTATTGCACCGTTCTTTATTAGATGGCCACCCTGACTGTCAAGAATGACCTTTTGTGCACCACTAAACTGCATTCATTGAACATATTTTCTCAGCCAGTTTTAAAGCTACAGATTGTGCATAAGGAGGAGGTAGGGCAGGAGGATGGAGGACCCTCAACCAGGAGGCATCAGCATCCTACCTACCTACCCCAAAACCACTTGGTTCAAACCCTTTCACGACATGTGTGAAGCTTCTCCTCCATGTTCATGGTTATGATTGGATGACTGAGAGGGAGTGATACTAAAGTGATAAAGAGACCATCTAAGACAGGGGTGTCCAATCCTGGTCCTCGAGAGCCACAATCCTGCATGTTTTAGATGTTTCCTTCTTCCAACACACCTGATTCAAATGATCAGCTCATCATCAATCTCTGCAGAAGCCTGATAACGATCCTGATCATTTGAATCATGTGTGTTGGAAGAGGGAAACATCTAAAACATGCAGGATTGTGGCCCTCGAGGACCAGGATTCGACACCCGTGGTCTAAGACATGTTGTGATTTGCTGTGGCTGAGGTGTGCCAGCGGTGGAAACACATGGTTTTAGCATGCTTACCTAACTAGACATCATTTCTGGTCCTTCCAGTCATTTCACTGAGCACACTGTCATCCCTTACATGTTGAAGAAAATTCATTCAGATTCATTTCTTTGTCATTTTTTGTTGTCAAATGTTTGTATGTGTTCCACCAAAGGTCACCCACAGGCTGAAGCCTCAGTCAAACAGGAAGTGGGAGATTCCAAAACCCTTCATAGTAGGGGGGTTATCTGAGTGTACCATGTTGGGTTGGGAACAGAGGGGAGGTTTGTTCTGTTCAAGAATTTATCTTTTAAATGCCTTAAACAACCTGCACTGTTGGTATCTCTATGTTGGGACATGGGGAAATCTACAGGCCTTCACTGATGCCAAACAATCCAGAGGAGCTTTCAGTTTCTAAAGCCCGGCATGGATGCTCCACTCAAATGCTCACGTTGGTTCAGTTCTGTTACAGCAGGGGTGTCGAATCCTGGTCCTCGAGGGTCACAATCCTGCATGTTTTAGATGTTTCCCCTCTTCTAACACACCTGATTGAAGGTGACGATCAGGATCATTATCAGGCTTCTGCAGAGCTTGATGATGAGCTGATCATTTGATTCAGGTGTGTTGGAAGAAGGAAACATCTAAAACATGCTGGATTGCGGCCCTCGAGGTCCAGGATTTGACACCCCTGTGTTACAGACTGGTTTAGATTGGTTGGAGATTCTTGCAGCGGCTCAACAACCTCAGTTACCTGCCATGAGGTTGCTGATAAGTTAGTAGTTTTACCAAAAGAAAACCTATAAACTGAGCAGTTATCTACATCTTAACCTAAAGTGAGGCTGTTCCAAAGGAGATGAATCCAGGCACTTCTGGTGAAAAGATACTGACGACAAAACCAGAATCTTTGGAATGAAAGCCACACAATGTTGTTGTTCAGCTTCAGCTAAGTATGTGAGCAGCAATGAGCAGTTTGAGCAACGTGGGCCTCAGCTGTTTGTTGAGACTTTCAGCGTGTTATGAACAATGAGACTGGAAACATCAAGGCCGGGGCTTCTGTCCACAGTCGTGAATGTTATCAAAGTTTACTTCAGGGTACGCACTCAACTTAATTTGACCTTCTCACCTTTTGTGTGCTCCTCTGCTTACCCGTTTCTTCTGCTCTCCTTCCCGCAGTGCAATAATGACTATGCTCCAGTGTGTGGCTCCAACAATAAGAACTACCAGAACGAGTGTTTCCTGCGCAGGGATGCCTGCAAGCAGCAGTCTGAAGTGCTTATTATGTCAGAAGGAGACTGTCCTGCTGGTATGTACGTTTTCCTTATGGTGCCTACACAAACAAACACACACACACACACAAACACACACTCAGACAGCAACACACTCCGAAACACATGCAGAAGTGTGTGAATATAAAATACTCGCGTGCAGAGCCAACACTCCTGCCACAGCTGTCTGTACGCTCGCACATGAATGCAAATGTAGCGGTAAGATGCTAAAACGATAAACCAAATCCAATTTTAACACTGTGTATACAAAAGTGCAATTTCCAGGCTTACACTCATCAATATATGAATAATGCTTCCAGGAGATGGAACTCAGTAATTACAGAGTGACGCTTTACTTCAAAGGAATTACAAAAAAAAGTACACAACGAAGAAATTCTGGAGGTGACAGACTGACGTAACATTCGCAGGTTTAATGCAACAAGCCAAATGACAAACGCCGGGGAGGCATTCTGTCGCCGCGGAGACGACGCATTCATCAAAGCCGCGCCGCGCTCGCTCGAGAAAATGAAGACGGCCGAGAGGCCCGTTGAGCAAGCAGAGGGTTAATTATATCGTTTATTTAAATTTGGTGTGCTTAACAGAAAGTAGAAGAAGTCTTGACAGCTGTGACCTTTCTTCGTGTAATGTTTAAATAAATGTCAAAAGGCACAGAATATAAATACTTGCCAAATTGTCATAAGGAGTTACTGTAACGCTGTTGCCATGAGGCATGCTCAACAAAGCAGAAAATTGAATGACTGAATCACACATCATCTTGATGGCCATTTCACTTTTTTCCTCCTTTTTTTTTTTTTTTTTGCATTATTTTCCTCAAACACTATTTAAATTAAGCCTGTAAAGGATGAAGTGAGTGATCTAATGCTGTGTTTTAGGGGCCACGATATAAACACGTTTACATCGACTTCACTCTGCCCAGAGTTTATTTGTCCAAATTGGCAAACGTTAAAATACTGCACATGGTATAAAGCGCTGTGGTAAACATTCCCCTCACATTGTGAACATGCTGGTATGTTGATGTTGCTGAAAATCCACGTTCAAAGCAGGATGTGAGCAGCGTTTCTGTCTTCAGAAGCAGCTGCCTGTCTGTTAGCGGCACACAGGAGCTGAAAGGAGAGTGGAAGGACAAACTGTCCTCACCAGGCTGACTGACAGCACAAATTTACTGGATAAATATAACGTTCATAGTGTGGTGCCTGGAAGTTTGTGAATCCTTTAGAATTTTTTGAGATTTCTGCAAAAAAGGTCCTCAGTTTTTTGGGGTTTTTCTTCTGCACAAGTCCTTAAAGTAGATAAAGAGAACCCACTTAAACAAATGACACAAGAATATTACACAAGGTCATTCCTTTAAAGGGAAGAAATGATCCAGTATTTAATATCCATAAGAGGAAAACGTGTGAAACTCTTGGATTAGCAGCTAACTTCAAGGTAAAAATTAAGAATCTTTTATTCAACGGGACTGTAGTCGGGCGTGAGTGGAAGGAAATGCATCATGGCACAAACAAAGACTTCTAAAGACCTCAGGAAAAAAAGAGTTGTTGATGCTCCTCAGGCTGACAAAGGTCACAAACCATCTCTAAAGAATGTGAACCCCACGAGTGGTCAACAAAGCTCACGCCAAGGTGTCTAATAGTCTGTGAGATCATAAAGGAGTAACTCGTCTCCCATTGGCCGCAAGTTCTCCATTCGGACAACCCTAAACACCAATGGTGTGCATGGCAGCGCTGCACAGAGAAAGCCACTGCTCTCTAAAAAGAACATTGCTGCCCTTCAGCAGTTTGCTAAAGATCACATGGACAAGCCAGAATGCTGCTGGAGAAATGTTTTGTGGACTGATGAGGACAAAGTAGAACTTTTTTGGTTCAAATGAGAAGAGTTTGGGGGAAAGGTTGTGTTCAAGCATAACAACCTCATCCCATCTGTGGGAGTGTTTGTAGTAGTGGTTTGGGCATCTGGGCCGGGACGGCTGGATGGAACAATGAATTCTGAAATAAAAAAGAAAATTCTGAAGTATTATGTCAGGACGTGTGTCCATGAACGGAATCTTAAAGTGGGTCATGGCGCAAGACGACAACCCTGAAGTTCATCCACCAAAGAATGATCAAAGAAACATGAAGTTAACGTTTTGGAATAACCAAAGCCTTGACTTTAATCCAACAGCAATGTTGTGGAAGGATCTGAAGGGAGCAGTTTGCACGAGGAAACCTACATGAGCTGCGTTCCATGTAGAGGAACGGGCTGAACTTCCTCCAAGCCGATGTGCAGGACGGATCAACTGTTACCAGAAACGTTTAGTCGCAGTTGTTGCTGCAGAAGAGGGTCAGCAATAGCTGCAGCTAAACGTTTCCCGTGACTGTGACTAACTCAGCTGTCAGTGGAGATTAGGCCTCCTTGAGCATGCTGGAAACAAAAAAAAAAATAGACTTGCAGTGTGAAGAAATTTTGAAATCATGGCTTTGCTAGAACGGACGTCTGTGTGTTTCAGGAGATGTGTGAGGGACTGGACGTTAAAAATGCTCGAATTGTAGCGTTTAACTCCGAACCTGTGCTTAAAGTACAGTTTCTCCAAGCTGCAAAAATGACTGTTTGACGGCTTACTTGGTTCTTATTAGTTAGAACAGGAAAGGTTATTTCTGATGTGAGTCATTGTTTGGTCAAAAAGTACTTGAGATAGGTTCTAAAAAGTGCAATTATATAGTATGTTGGTGGTGGCTGTGTTTGTTTATTTGCCTTTGACAGTATGTTTGCTCTGGCACTGTATAACTGGGACTGTCACATACTTTTGTTTCCTTGCAGTTTGTGATTGCATGCTTCTGTCCATTTTCATTCATCCAGAGAAGAAAGGCGACTTAAACATGTTCGATATTAATATTCTGTAAAACAGCTGACATTATTTTTCCTCATATTGTGCTAAAAAAAAAAAATAATTGTTTTAAAATGTTCATATTGCATTTGGTTCATTTCCATGCAAATGCTTCCTGTGTGACGGCTGCCAGCCAAATGAATGCTCTCTAATTGGTTGCTTCAAATTGTCTTCCATGTGCTCTGGACGCTATTGTGTTGTTGTTGTTCAGTTTTGTTTTTTTTACCTCATGAGATTGGATAATTATTTTTACAGACTCCATGCAAAGATTTTATTTAAAGAATATTACCACTTAATAAAACATCTGACAGCTAGATCTCCGTTGGCTTTACTTCAAGGTCCTGCCTGGTTGTAGATGCCCATTTTTGCCCTCCTTGTTTCCACCGTTCCACCAGCGGGAAAGAAAAAGCGCTCGGTGTAATTATCAAACATAGCTGAGAATACTGTTTGCTGTTATGGTTTGGCGTTTAAGCTGCTGAACTGGGTGTCTTCAGTCTGAAAAGGTCAGGCACTTCATTAGGCAGCTCCAAGAAGCCGTGCTATTTTTGATCATACTTCTTGGTCTATGTTGTGACCTAGAGTTGAAGCTTCTTGGTCGTTCAAGGTTTGGATACAGCTTTATTAACCCACTACACCACAGCAATACAACTAGCATCCTCATAGAGTCATAGCTGCTTCCTGATGGCGAGTGTACAACATTTCTTATCCTTTTAACCCTTCGAGCAGTTTCTGGTATTTCTTGCTTCTGTCACTTTTTTATTCACTGTGGGCTCATTTTTCGCTGCGATATAAAGTCCAGCACAATCATGACTAACTGTACTAAATTATAAGTTTTATTTTTTTTGATTAGTTATTTCACAAAAAATTGAAAAGAAAATTTACATTTTTTTTCCCCCAAGTGCCCACAGATGTTGTCAATAGTGGAATAAAATGGTGGCTCTACATATGATAAATATTTCACTACTTACATTTACAGTCCTACCAATTGTATTCATACCCTTCCATTAAAGAAAAGGCAAAATTCACTCAAATAACTAGAAACTGAAAAAAGTAATAAAAAATAAAAATTTGCTAAATTCTAATTTAGTGAAATAAGAGACTGCTTTTGAATTCTGGTTGAAAAATAATAATTAAAACAAACAAACAAATTAGAGCGCTTTGCTTTTTTGTTTTGTTGTAGTTTTGTAATGTTTCTGTTGAACCATAATTCAAAAGCAATTACAAGATTTTTCTTAAATGTTTTTTATTTTTTATTACGTTTGTCATTTTCAACTTATTTCAGTGGCAGCAGCTTTTTCCTTCTTTAATGTGAGGGTATGAATAGACTTGAGGACGACTGTATACAACCCCTACAAATGTGTTTCTCACACTACCAGCACTTCACTGTATCCTCCGACAACTTGCTCTTCTATTTACTGTTTGTGAGCTGCATTATTTGACCGATCAAGTACGTTATATTTTCCCTTTCTCACATTTTTAGCCATATTTGTCTCCTATCTGCTTTGTGTAAACACTGCCTGCAGTTCAACCAAATATTCACAGAATTTTATTCCCACAACTGGTACATGCAGCTGAGTTTCTCTTGGCTTCTCGGTTGCGCTGAGGAGTGATGAATTGTGACATTTTTGCAGCATCAGGTGCAAATGCTTTATTTTTGTCAGAGACAAATATCAGGATTTTATGGTACAGTTTGGTTAAGGAACCACAACATAAAAAGGAAAGCTGAATATCCAGTAATTCTTTATGTTTTTACAGTTTCTGGCTCTGATGGATGGTGTAATTACTCTGTTTTTGTTGTAAGATAACACCCCGTTGGATGGATTTTGGGGTTTAGAGGGTTAACTCCCAGTGCCAGCTGTGTACTCTGGCAATAACTGAATCATTATATTTGTAAAAGGAGTGAACAACAACACTGTAGTCTGATGTAATGAATGAACACTGTACTACATGTTCACATTCATGTAACTTTTCATCATAAAAGCAGCTCCTGTTCGTTTTTTTTACTCTATCAGAACATGCGTAATTAGGTTCGGCCCGCGTGATGTGTTTAATCCTAAAATGACAGATTTAAATGGATGAGCGTATGCTGGAGAACAAGCAGCGACGCCCACAGTGGAATCTACCAATTAGTGAGTCATGTTGTGAATAACGTTCTTA